GCCCTGGGCTGTGTGGTGCCGGCGGGCCTCTGGTGATAGGGGGTTCGGCTGCAGGGAGGCAGCAACCGCATAGGTTTTCTCTGTCGAGACTAATGGTGAGGAATGTGGCTTGAAAGGAGAAGCTGATGGATATGCACTTGCCATCCTGTTCTCTTAGACTCGTTTATTTCATAGCTACCTTTGGAGGGCAGTTGGTGACGCTCGGCCTCAAATTTAGTTGCTGTTAGTGGATTTGGCCAGAGAAGAGCACATAAGGGTAGTTTGTATTAAATTGGATTCTCTCAGGTGGGCGTTGATGTGTGTTTTTAGAGCCAAATTTAAGGTGTTTGGTTTCTTTTATGGAAGACTTTATGCTCGGAAAGGAAGTATCCAACTTTGTGAGACAACTTCACTTGAGGTAGAAGAGAAAGGGAGCTGTCAGTGTTTCTCAGCTGTTAGGGGGGAAGAACAAAAGGTAGACCTGCTAAAAACTACAAGTTAATCAGTTTCTGTCAAGTAGTTCTGACAAACATAAGCAAAACTAAAGAGTTGGATTGGAGCCAAAAATCGGGTTGAATTGCAATGGAGTTGCTTATGGCTTCTCTGGGGAACAAGCTGGTTATTATTGTTCATGTGAATTTAGAAATTTGCCCATGACACTAAGTTGGTTGTTGATATGGAGAAGGATCATGACATTATGCAGAAAAATGTGGATGACCTTTAAGGAATAAATATTAGAAATAATGCTAAAGTGAAAAAAAATATTGTTGTGACTAGTAGTGTTTTAATCTCAATTTGAAACAGTTAGAAGAAAAGTAAGGAGGTAGACTTGTTGACTAGTAGATGCATATCGGTTACTGAAGTGAGAAGAGAGAGATGTCAGTTTTATTGTAGTTCTGCAAGACTATGGGACCTTATTCCCACATCCTGTTAAAGATTCTGCAGTTCAGCACCTGTGTTCGCCAAGGCTGGACTGACATAAAGCAGGGCTACAGAGGTTGTGTTTATCCATTTCAGAAAATACCTAGAAGAATATGGTTTTCATTGCTGGAGCAAAAGTGAGGTTGAGGGGCAATAAGAGTTCTTGAAGAAAGTACTGTTATGCCAGTAGGAGAGAACAACTGTTAAAGAACAGTGTTTTCCTGAGAACGAGGGCATAGAACAAGTTAAAATAATCAACTAGCAATGAGTAGTAGAGGTGTTGAAAGGTTTCTGATTATCTGAGCAGTTGCACTGTTTCGGTTTGGTGTTGTTTGAGGGGTTTTTTGTGTAATAAGAAGAACTTAACTTTAAGATCAGTGAGGAAGTGGTATTGTTGCAGTCTCTAGTCTTTAGTGTGTGCTGCTATAGAGCTTTGTCTTCCTAAAGCAAAAAAAAAATTTGTGTAGAGGAACAGCCTTTGTTCTGTATTTGTGCTATGATACCTTGGTCTGTGACTACATCTAGAAAGTGAGGCCAAACAGGTAATTGGTGTGTAGTTAACTTAGTACAATTCTTGTATGTGTGGGCAGCAGTCTAGTTGTAAGAAAAAAAATACTTAACAATGGAGTGCATGAACAGTAATATCTTCTTGTTATCTCCTGAGAATATAAATTCATACAACTACAGTGCGCTCTGTATAAGGTGCTAAACTAAAGTATTTTGTTAAAACTACACCACTTATCAAAGTAATGTGTCCACTGCTTGATAAACCAGGCTTTGTATATAAAAATTATTTATCACCTTATTAGGTGATTAATGCTGATGTTACATGCCAGTATAGAAGGGTTTATTATATTTGATAAATACTGTTTAAAATACAGTGTGAATTATTGGTGGTAGTGGTGCTATGTCTTACATTTATTATTTTTCCTTGATAATACAGCAAGACCCTTGAAATATTAGAGGCAGACTATCAACTTGGTATCTATTTGAAATTAAGAAAATAATAATAAATTTTTTTTGTGACTCTCATATGTGAAGTAGTTCGTCTAGGTCAAGACTATGGTATGGATGTGGGTTTGTGAGCAACAAATTATGTCTATGTTGTGGATAAATAAAGATCTTAAGTCTTAAGATTATAAGCATTCAGTACTTCTGAATGAAAGTCATAGTCTTTTGCTGGAATCCTTTGGGAATGTGAACACCAGTAAATACTTAATTTTTTTAGTATAGAAGATGTTTTTTAAAATCCAAATAAAAGGAGTTAAGTCTTTCTGCATCACTTAGCCTTTCAAACTTCTGTTAGAGTTCTTCTTACAAAATAACTCTGTGTTCTATATTTGTAAACACTTTTTAATTGTTATTTGGAGGGCTTTTACCTTTTAAAAACTTTTTTTTTCCTCCAGAAAAAGGTCAGTATCTATGAAAGGAGGACCAATCCTAGCCAAGGGTTAGCTTTTGCTAGGCTTCCAAAGCTGCAAAAAAAAAATAATCAAAATTGAAGTGTAAAAGTCTTACAACTTCAGCTCTTGGATTGTATCTTCTGTGTTGTCCTTAGCAAAATCAGATTGAAGTTAAAGTTAAGCTTGAATTGTTTTTCTAACTATGTCAGAGGTCAAACTGAGTGGCTTGGTTTGCTACAGACTTAGAATGTGCTTACTGAGTTGTTGTTAATTATTTCAGTCAAAATTGTTGCTTGTCTCTAGAAGTAAAAAAAAGAAAAAGTTAAGTGTTATGTTAAATGCTTCACATATACTAAGTAAATGTAAACATAACACCTGTGTTTGGTGGTGTTTTTTTTTCCTAGAGTGCTCAGAGTTTTCCCAGAGATCCTGTGAAGAATGTCTAAAAAATGTTGCGGTAAGATTTCTAACATCCTTTTGGTTTACGAAAATATTGTGGTTTTCTTCAGTTAATATGAAATAAAGTTGTTAGGATTTCCTTGGCTGTTTGGTGGGGTTTTGTTTTGTGGTTTTATGGTGAATTGAGTCAAACTACCCTTAGTAAGAGGAAGTCAAGATCAGTCAGTTTGAGTATCAACTCTTATATAAATGGTAGAGTCAACTGATGTGCTGGTTCCCCTCATTCACACTCAATGTCAGTGGGCTTTCACTTTGCCAAGGTTGCTCCATGATTTGGTCACTCAGGATACTTCTCTGCTTTGTCTGGAGAGGATGGTGTAGAATCCAGGCTTCCAGTTTCCATGTGTGCTCAGTGCTTTCATGGCACAACTGAGTGAGTTGGTATTGCTGCTGGTTTAGGCTCATTCTTGTTTTGCAAGCAGCGCTTAGTTAACTTTGTGCCTTACAAAAGGGCTTGATAAACTGAATCAGATATGGCTAAAATGCGTTCCGGTTCTTGAATGCGAGGAGAACTGGGAAATTAATGTAAATAAAATAGAAATGTCTTTCTCTGGGGGTGCCCCAAGTGGTGCATTTGACTGACGCTGCCTGGGTTTTCACTGACTACATCAGACTGTAAGTACTTAAGACTTGCGGGCTGGGTCTTTGTTCTTGTAGCCAAGTGTTTAGATTTTCCAATGATATTACAATAGGGCAGAGATGTAAAACAACAGGATTTTTTTTTATCCTTTGCTCAAAACTTTTTTAGCTCCACAATAAGGGTTATTATAAATGTGCAAAAGGTGTCTGTTCCTGCAGAGCAGAAGAAACTCATATTTAAGGTGAAGACAGCCAGGCATCCTCATGAGCATAGAATCATATCATAGAATCAAAGAATTGTTTTTTTCGAAAGGGATCTTAAATGGAATCTAGTGGAAAGGACCAGCTTTTTTTTTTATCCTTTGCTCAAAACTTTTTTAGCTCCACAATAAGGGTTATTATAAATGTGCAAAAGGTGTCTGTTCCTGCAGAGCAGAAGAAACTCATATTTAAGGTGAGAGGTTGTCTTGAATTCTAACTTAAGGTGTCACTGAAAAGAAATATTTTGGGAGTATTTAAGTAACATAAGTTACTGTAAAACTTTTCACTTGAGAATGCAGAGATGTCTGAACTTACTTGTTGAATATTTGTTATGCATTTTTTTGTTTTTTAATATAAAATATTACCTTGTATCTGTATTCTCAAACCTGTGTATTTTTCATCAGAAGCATGATATTGTGTAAAGAACTCTTCATCTTAAGAAGTGTAAAGTTGAAAATGGAAAGTATGGATCATTAAAGCACTAGCACTGTTATGACTGTCAGTTCAAATAAGTACTGCTGCTGCATGAGCATTGCTTATTAACATGAGAGCTGTGTGTTCACCTAGTGAGAGAATCCTTTAGCTGTGTTTGTGCACTGAAGACAATAACAGAATTGTAGATACATTATTTTTAAATTCTGTGAAACCAATGATGGTGTCCAGGCTGGTTTTGGTGACAGAATGATGGCTGATTCAGGGCAACTGCTTCAACAGCATCAGTGTTAACCTTGTACAGAGATGTTTAGACTTGATTCAGACAATTCACACATTTTTTAAAAGAAGAGAGGCTACAGAACAAAATCATGAGTACTTGTGTGAGCAATAAAAAAAACAAAGGCTTACTGAAATTACTTGAATTCCCTCAATAGAAAAAAATCAGGTTTTCTTATTGTTGATAATAGAAATAGCAGCAACAGATAAGAATGAAAAATTAATGTTTGGTGAATGGACAAAAACAATTGCAAACAAACACTAAAATGTAGTAATTTATTTCTGTTAAATAAAATTATAATTCAAAATGCTTAAATTTTGTTTATGATAATTATAATTGGGTTGATCTTTTGTCTTGGTCCTGAGTTAATGAATACCTATTTTCTTGTGTTTTTATTAAAAAGTTCTGAGTAGTAATTTTGTAGATACTTTGTTGCATTTAATCTTATTCCTTACAGTATGATATATTAAAAAATAACACATAAGGGTTTTGATTTGGACTGTTGAATTCTGAAGCTTCAAATACTTGAATACAAAGAAATACTTATGGCTGTGACCAGATTACCAGGTGTACTAAAATTTTTTACCAGATAATGTGTAAATATCTATTGATTAACATCCTGATTTTTCCCTTCAAGTTTGTAACTGCGTATAACTGTGTAATATAAAATATACAAACATTTGTTAATAGGGCTACATTTTAAAATCTGTATCTGTGTGTAGAGCCTCAGGATTCTGGAGAATTTTCTGAAGTCTCATTTAACTTTTGAGTAGAATACCAACATGCTTTTCCCTTCATCTGTTGGTTTTTGTCATTCTCATCTAAAACAAATATACAGAATCTAAATTCTTGTGGAAAATGCATTTTAGGAAATCCAGGCATTAAAAAAAATAGGAGCTAAGAACAGTTATAGGAATCATTAAATATAGCTAATGTTTTTGGGGAAAGGTAGGAACAATAGTCACTTATACACACCTTCCTGATTACTGAGGAAGAAGCATTAATTTAATGTTTATAGTTACTATCATATCTCTTAATACTGAGAATATGTCCCTAAAATACATGTGGGCTGAAGTAATGATGTTGCACTTTGTTATCCTTGTGAGACTACTAAAATAAAGTCAGCAATATCCATCAGAGTGTGACCTTGGTTGCTGCCATACTGTGGAAAGGATGTATGCTTTACCTCTAAATAAAATCTTTTCAGTCTTGAGTTTTAGGTTATGTAGATGAAGGTCAAAATTAAGGACAAGTTTCACCCACAGTTGTTTAGTCTTTTTTCTTTTTTTTCAAACTTGATTTTGACAGTGAGTTTGATTTTTAGCATTGGCAGTGAGTCAGTTGAAATATTGTCTGTTACTTCAGCCTCTGCAGCAATCAGTAGCTGTAGTAGGTACTGCCTTTTGGGCTACACGTTTTTCATAGTTAGATGGAGTAGTCTCAATCAAAATGATACAGTTGGCCTTGATGTGCTCCCAATTGTCACCACCTGTATGAGAGACGTCATGAGTCATCTGGCTTAGCCTCCTACTTAAACCAGGGTAAATGTTACATTAAAAAAAATTAACAATTACTACTTTAGTCTGCCTCCTGTTAGTCGTTATTTTTTTACTGTTAATTCTTATTAAATAGTTGATTTTAAAAAGTGTAATTTTTTTGAATATAATAATTTATTGTCTTTTCCTTTTGCACAGTGCCTTTGGTGTTATACCAACAACACTTGCATTGATTACCCTGTAAGAAGTATTATTCCATCATCATCACTATGTTCCCTCTCAAAGGCTCGATGGGGAGTTTGCTGGAGTAAGTAATAATTTTACTTTTGCTGTAGAGAATTATTTATGAGTATCATTAAAATAAGACTGACACTTCCTAGAGCTGTCTCCTGGTAATTTATTTGGAGTAGTGGAGGAAGGAGGCAGTGGTTATGATTTGGAACAGTAATCTCTAACTGTTGCTTACAGACAGTCATTGTCAAGGGCTCTTTGTGAGCAGGCAGTGTAGTTATGCTGATCCTGTGGCTTTAAAACATTTAGTACACAGTGAAGTTCTGTTGATGGTAGAATCTAGACTGGGAATCAGTGTTGTTGCAGTGTTTTATGTACGTAGTCAAGATTCACCTGTTTCTTAATCAATACTTCTGGGGTACAAAGAAATAAGGCCGTTCTTTCTGACAAAAGGCAATAATTCTTACCTGTTAACATTTATTAAAATGTCCAATGATATACCTGGATGCACAATTTTTGTAGTATGTTCCAGTGACAGTAGTGAAGCGAAACCAAAAGAATGAACCCACCCAAAAATTCTTGAATACTGTTTTTGCTTAAACAAATGAAAAAACATTGCAGTCTTGGGGTGCTGAAGATAATGATTGCAGTTAAGGTTCAAAAGGAAGCTGCAATGTGCCACTGTACATTGTAATACTGTGTCATTTAATTGTTCTTAGGTTTCCTTTTACATTGCATATTGTATTCCAACATACAGTACAGTGCATATACTGCAATTGGGATGAATTCTTTTGGAGCCCTTTTTTGTGATACTGTGCATACAGATCTAAATTCAGACTGGACTGGAACAGAGAACAAACAAGATATTGGGAAGTTTGTTGTATGAAGTGAGAGTACAGCTTCAGTGCAGCCAAGAAAGGCTTGCTGCTTACTGTGTTTGGTCATGAACACCAGGAGAATAAATGACAACAGTTGGGAATGAACTATCTGTGACTACGTTAACTGTAAATTAGAAGAAAGTTACCACACATAGAGCAGTGAGATAATGCAATAGTCTGCATCAGAGTAGCAAAGATAGAAAATTGCTGCTAAAATAGAGTGTGCAAGTTTCTGAACACTACCACCTTGTGTAATCCCTGCAAACACAAGGGGTCTGTGCTTTGTTTTGTGAGGGAAAGCATTTATGCTTAGACTTTGGGAGTTTTTCAGAGCTTCTGCCAACAGCTGGGTACCCACACAGCTGCTTGCTCCCTCTCTTCTTCCCCTGGGATGGGGGTAGAAAATAGAACAAAAGCAAGAAAACTAATGGATTGAGATAAAGACAGTTTAATAGGTGAAGGAAAAAGGGGAAGAGGAAGAAAAAGCAAGCTAAGGAAATTGTTTACCACATCCTACATCAGGCTGATCCCCAGCCAGTCCCCAACCTTGGAAGCCAGATACCCACTTCACTTTCCTTTACCTCCAGTTTTATTGCTGATAAGGGCTTTATATGGTATGGAATATCTCTTTGGCCACTTTGGGTCAGCTGTTCTGGCATTGTTCTTTCCTGACCTCTGCTATCTTTTAGCTACCTCCTAGTCACTGAGAGAAACAGTAGATTAGGGAAAAAGATACAATCTTGATGCTCTTCAGGCCTATTCAGCAGCAGCCAAAACAGTGGTGTGTTATCAATACTGTTATAGACAAGTCCACTTGTGTCCAGAAGGCTTCTTAGCTGGATCCTAAAGCCAAGTTGGAGGCAACCTGATAGTGATGCGGTCAAAGTGATAGCATCTCATCCTTGTTTCTCCTGGGATGAAGGGGCCTCCCTGCAGGGCAGGGCAAAGACTGGTGGCAGTCGTTGGAAGTCAAATGCTGGAAGATTGGAGAGTAGCTGAACCTTCTGTGGAGAATTTAGGTTAGATATTAGAAAGAAATCCTTCAGTGGGAGGGTGGTAAGACAGTGAAACAGGAAAGCCCCATGCCTGGAAGTGTTCAAGGGCAAGTTAGATGGGGCTCTGAGCTACGTGCCTTACTGGGAGGTGGCCTTGTCCATGCAGGGAGGTTGGAATTAGATAATCTTTAAGGTCCCTTCCAACCCAAACCATTCTATATTTCTGTACCAGCTGCTGTAGAGAAAGTTAACTTGCTGAGCTGCACCCAGTACAGAAACCTAAGTCCTTTTGCAAGCAGTGAATATTGGGATCTACTGCTAAGGATGTACTTGGCCATTTACTCCTGCTCTAGAAGTGACTTCTTGGGTGCCATTTGAGTTCCTGCATTTAATGTAGCTTAAACAAAGAATAAGAACTTGGTAAAGGAACACATTCTCAGAGAAAAAAGTTAAAGTGGAAAACGTAAAAAAATACGAACCCTAAAACAATTATAAAAACCATTATGCAGATATGCATTTCGTTAATAGATTATTATTATTTTTGTTACCAATTACATGCAGCAGCATGCCATGGCATGTGTAGTCTTACTGAGACTGTCCCTTTTGGACACAGCAGGAAAATTAATTAATTTGTGAGTGTGGTTATGGTGTGGTGTTTTTCTTTTTGCAAATAAAATGGAGATGAGTGTTGGCTCAGTGTTGCTGAAAATGAAGGTGAATATTGCAGCTCTCAAAGTCAAAAACAAATTACTAGCTTCCAGTTACAATTTTATATGGAATGAGACATATTGACAGATTATTAACGAGCAGTGAAGAAAACAGAATGGCATAGAAGCAATGCAATACAAAGTAGCTGAATTGTATTGTTTTTTCATTAATACTAAGCAAATGATATAGTGAAGATGGAAATGCAGACTGAAAACTGGTGGTCTTTTTCTGTGCTTAGATGCAAGTTCAAAATATATTTTTTGCTTCAGTTAAATAGTATACTTTTTTAAAAATAGAGATTAAAACAATTTTTTGTTGTTTTACTTCAGTAAATGAAGTGTATTCAGTTGCTTGGACCTTTTTGGCAATTAACAGGATGAGAAATGTGGTATGCTGAAATGGGTTGCTTTGATAATTTAAATGTTTTGAGTTGTGTATTGTTAAAAAGAAACTATGTATGGATCTGTAATATAATTTACTAGTTACAGTTTATAACACAAAAAGTGTTTGCTGGAGTCAAGTCTTTGGCAAGATCTGTGAAGGATATGCCTTGGTGAGGCATGAGTTGGTGAGACTGGTGGAGAAGTAACAGACTGTGACTTATGCATGTGGTCAGAGAGGACAGACCCTCTGCACTTCACTAGCTTAATTTGACTGTCTTATGTGATAAGTACCCTGAAGCAGTAAAAAGTGCGAGTGCAGCTATTTTGTATTACTACAGCAGCATGAAGCTATTCAGAGGGATTTATGGGGGAGAATGGAGAAGAGGTAGCTTTATTGCCTCCTTCCCCCATCGTGCTTTAAAATGGACAATGTGGGAAGTGTGTGGGAAAAGGTGACTAGTTAATATCTCTGTTACAACTTTGGATAATTTCATTTTGTCTTTCATTAGGTCCCTTAAATAAGTCCTCAAAGTTGTGTCTATAGCTTTGCTTATATCATCCCCATTGGCTTCCTTCTTGGGCCATACTCTCTTCTAGGACAACAGGTTTCTGATTTTTTTAATGCAGTCCTGTCCTGGTTCAGACAGTGTACAGTTGTTACAGTGTATGCTGTTAAAATAACACCCTCAGCCCCATTTCCTAAGTGCTGTTTGGACAGGGATGATGACTTTGTTTGGGCCTAGGTGATGACTTAGGAAGTTTTATGGAGAGTTTTTATCAGTTCCTTCAGCTGGATTAGATTATCTTTAAAGATCCCTTCCAACTCCATACATTCTATGATTCTGTGAGATCCTCTGACATTGTCATCTTATTTAATTTTGTTCTTTATCTAACTGCTGCATGTAATGTGGGTACATTGCTGCTGTATCTAGGACTCTTGTGCTGTACACTGACTAAGGTTGTGATTGGGAGGGCAGAACTGTGAAATCACACTAGTAAATACATTTAATAAAAGGTATTGCAGGATGACTTTTTATAATTTGATGTGTGTAAAGAGCAATTTTACATAATGTCTGTCCAGTGTAGATTATGCATAATAGCAAAATTTGAATGTGATTATAAAATTGAGTTCTTAACTGGCATAGTTGCACAGAATTGTGGTTTTGGTTGTTTTGTTTGGGGTTTTTTTTGCATACAGACATGTAAAATGCTTGGGAAGGAGGGGAAGAATTATCAGAATGACAAATGTTAATGCTGGAGTCTAACAAGTTGATTATATTCATATTTTTCAGTAAACTTTGAGGCTTTAATTATTGCGATGACTGTAGTAGTTGGGCTCACTCTGGTGTCCATAGCAGTCTGTTGCTGTTACTGCTGTTACTGCAGAAGGCGTTCCAGGAGGTAAATACATACATTTGTTTCCTTTACTAACTTTAGGTGCTGGTCTTCCCTACCTATGATTTTTACTGTCCAGTATATGAAGAATCTTTTCATTTGGAAGCAATTTTGGTCACTTTGCTTTATTTCTTCTAGAGAGACAACAAAAAAAAGAGATGTTAGTGACAGGCAGTGTGACACTAGAAATTACGCTAGAATGGCACTGTAGTAACATTATTTGTGGCAGTGTCACAGATGTGTACTTTAAGCTACTGCTTTGCACTGCTACATTTTGCACATCCTTATTAAGGTTGGACATTAAATATTTCAATGGCCAAATAAATACGTACTGCTTGTCATACCGGAACAAATACTTTATTTCAAGGCAAGCTCATGGTACAGTAAAAAGGGACTAGATGGGTTACAAATAACTGAGCATCAATGTCCTATAACACTTGTTATCACTAGTTAACACTAGTTTGCTCTAGGATCTGCCAGCAGACAGTCTGTGTCTGATTATCTGTCTTTGCCGATCTAACCAAATATTCTAAATGTAGGATGAGTTTTTTTTGTTTTTTTTTTGTTCTAGGATACTGAGAGTGACTTAGTTGTTTTCAAGTAAAGTAATACTGCAAAAATTTAATGTTTATTTGAACTTGGAGAACTTGTAAAACTTTTTTTACTGGCTTCTCTCATTGGCTAATAACCTCCAAAGAGAGGGAAGCAGTTGATGAGTAGTCAAAATGGATGTCAGTTCTCCCATGTGACGGGATTAGTGTTTATTCCCTAATAAAACAACTGGAAAGTCTTGTTTATTGGGACAGCACAGTATACTTCATTCTATCACTGAAGTTTTAGAGTTCAGGTTTCTGGGCAGTGTAATTTCAGCTAGTTATGTTCTTTTTGTCCTTCAGTACTTCTCATGTGAACAAAATGTGGCTCTTATTTCTTATCTGAAATAATTTATATACTACTTCAAATACCTGGAATTCATTGTTCTTGTTTGAGGGTTGTTGGTTTTTTAAAGAGCTTATTCAGCTGTACAGTGCTTAGTGCTGACTTTCAAGCCAGATAAATATGGTACATCTGTGGCTTTAAGAAAAAAAGAAAATTAACTGTAAATAAGGTGTAATTCCCTTCTTTTTTTCCCTGAGGAAGATGCATGCACCTGTTCTGCCTGTAGATTGGTCCACCATGCTTGTCCTACTGCAGAAATTGATAACTCTTTAGCCCCGTGCTGATAAGCCTTGAAGATATGTAGAACTGTTTTAGATTTTATGTAAGATCTGCCAACATCCTCTGCAGAAGAACTGAGTAGGCCCCCGTGGCTGACACGCCAACAAATAAAGTTTGATTCCTGTGAAAAGAGAGATTTGTGTCAGACTTCAGTTTTAGTAACTAAGTTGTCAATCAGTACTGTAACATGTAATTTGAAAAGTAAAAGGTTAGATGAGAGTCATCTTATGCCAGGACTCCAAAGGTGTCAAGCTTAATCTTTTGACACCTAGAGGATTTAAAGGTCTTGTCAGAGTGCGGTCCAGCTTATTTCAGGAGGATTCAGAATGTATTATTACATGGAAGCCTGATGTATTACTGGCTTTAAACCCACTGATTCT